AGGGGAAGAGGAAGAGGGAAAGATTGAAGCCTGGATTAAACTGTGTCTGACTTAGGTTCCGCAGGACCTGATTTTTGCTTCTGGGAATAGTTTGGGCTGCTGTCTGGGCTGATAACAGTACTCAGTACCATGACCAACAGCGAGTTCAGTGCACATTCTGTAGCATTTAATGAAAAGCAGGTAAAGGTCAGCCAATTGGGTTTATTTGGTCCGAGACCTTTGAAAGAGCCTATTTTAGTCATGTCATATACCCGTATTTTTCGCTCTATAACACGCACCAGACCATAACACGCACGTAGTTTTTAGAAGAGGAAAACAAGAAAAAAAATATTCTAAATGAAACAGTGGATGTATGATTTTTGTGGTTCATGCTGCGGCCACTGACATGTGATCTGACAGTGAGTTTGGAGTAGCCCAATGCAAAAATCCTGAGGATCCATGTGGATCCATGCTTTGTAACCACGTTTTTGCACCACTGCGGCCCCAGGCAACAGTGGGTGCGTGATTTTTTTGGTGCAAGATGTAGCCATGGACATGCTATGTGATCTGATGGTGAATTTGGGGTGACCCAGTGCAAAAATCCTGAGGATCCATGTGGATCCGTGCTTTGTAACCACGTTTTAAGTGGGGAGGGAAGGAAAAGCACTCAAGGGACAAGGAGCACGCATGGGGTGTGTGGAGAAGGATGCTGCTAATAATGCTATTTAGCGAGCTGAGTGGGGAGGAGAGAGGGACAGAGAGCCTGCTTGCTTTAAAGGAGCAAAGCGGGAGAGGAGCCGCTTACACGAGTGTAAGTGGCTCCTGTCCGGTTGGCTCCTTTAAAGCAAGCAGGCTCTCTGTTCCTCTCTCCTCCTCACTCAGCGGCTCTTCTCCCGCTTTGCTGTTTCAAAGAGAGCCACGGAGGAGGGAAGGAAGGGGAACCATGGATCCTCTGCTCACAACTGCAGCAGATCCCCACCACCACCACCACCCGTAGGCATTCGCTCCATAACACGCACAGACATTTCCCCTTACTTTCTAGAAGGAAAAAAATGAGTGTTATGGTGCAAAAAATACGGTATATATATACATTTATATATAAACACACACATATATAGATACGCACACATTAATTTTTTAAAGGCTCAAAATTACTTTAAAGTCTTTCATTAAGAAATCAGGCTGGATTTTTCACATACTTTTAAAACACGGGCTTATTTTCCTTAGGGAAGAATAAATCTGCCCATTTCAGTGTCTCTAAATTTCTCATTCTTCTAGTCTTAGATTCAGTCCTGCATCAGTTTGCAATTCTCTTTTATTTTTAAAAGCACTTGCATTTTAATGTACATTTCCCCTAGTATGCATATTTTGGAAGCAATTTCCCCTAATAAAATGCAGATTAATGCTATTTTCTAGAACACTTCCCCTTAATCTAAGTATTTTGGGATGTATTGCATGACTGGAGAACTGCATCTCAAAATTCGGACAAGCGCACATTTCGAAGTAAAGCTGTATATTGTCCCTTGCATTATTTTGCAAAGTGCAAGTTAGGTAGTTCCACATTAAAACTCAAGAGCCAGTGGGGTGTAGTGGTTAGAGTGTTACACTAGGACCTGGGAGACCAGGGTTCAAATCCCCACTCAGCTACTTGAAGCCCTCTGAGTGACCTTGAGCCAGCCGCTACCTCGCAACCTAACCTACCTCACAGGGTTGTTGTGGAGATTTAATGAGGAGCATGAGAACAGAGTGTGCCACCTGGAGTTCTTTGGGGAGAAAAAGGCAGGATACAAATGCAATAAATAAATACAGTGGTACCTCTGGTTAAGAACTTAATTCGTTCTGGAGGTCCGTTCTTAACCTGAAACTGTTCTTAACCTGAGGTACCATTTTAGCTAATGGGGCCTCCCGCTGCCGTGCGATTTCTGTTCTCATCCTGAGGTAAAGTTCTTAACCCGAGGTACTATTTCTGGGTTAGCGGAGTCTGTAACCTGAAGCGTCTGTAACCTGAGGTACCGCTGTAAACAAAATGTGACCTGAATCAAAATTTTCCCCCATCCCTGCTATAAATTTATTTACTTATTAAATTTCTATACTGCCCTTCATCTGAGAATCACAGGGCAGTTTACAATATAAAAAATACAAAATGTAGCTACAAACGAAAGCAATAACCCCTACACACACACACACAGTTTAAAAGGCCATGGGTTGATATTTCATATAAAGCAGTATAAAGCCCCTCAATAACAAATGCAGCATTCAGAGAAAAACACTCTCCGCAACTTCCAAAAAGGGCAAACATTCTTAGTTGATCCTTCGCTGCACATGTAAAAGCAAATCTAATAGTGAAATGAACTATAGCATCCCAATAAGCAAAAATGTCTTTAGCTGACGGGAGTACTAAGAAGCCCGTTTCCAAACCAAAATGTTCATGGAAACAGATACTACTTGCCCTGCCTTTTTTAAAAGCACGCACACTCACAAGCAAATAGGGCGATGTTGCTGTAAGAAATGGAATACTTCAGTGTCAAGTACACGCCACAATGCTGCCTTATACAGCGGCAATGTGATTAATTAAAATTTACAAGCGTAATCCGCACTCTTAACCGCGTTCCTTGGCTCCGTCCCCTCTAGCCCTGCGCCAATAACATCTTAAAACAAACGACAACCTCAGAGTTGACCTTTGGGAGCTGTGAAGAGCCTCTCTTAAGCTGCTCTGCAACCAGAGAAGGGAAAGGAGTGGTACAATTTCAGGGGGCGGAGGGAACGAAAGCTCGTAAAGACAATAAAACCGGGCTCATAAATCGTATCGGAAAGCTGTATGTCAACAGATGCCAGCAACTGCGGGTGCAGATAGGAGGGAATTTCATACGCAGAAGAGCATTCAAGCACCCCATGTGTGTGCAAAAGATACAAGAAGCTGCCAATTCACACCCTTTGCCCATCCATCCCAGTAATGTCTGCACTGGCCAGCAGCTGCTCTCCAGGGTCATCTCCGGCAGGGATCTTTCCCACTCCCTGATACCTGAACCTTTAAACTGAACCTTTAAACTGTCAGGATTCGAGCCTGGCATCCTCTGCAATTACATCATGTGCTCTGTTGTTGTTGTTGTTTAGTCGTTTAGTCGTGTCCAACTCTTTGTGACCCCATGGACCAGAGCACGCCAGGCACCTCTGTCCTCCACTGCCTCCCGCAGTTTGATCAAATTCATGCTGGTAGCTTCAACAACACCATCCAACCATCTCATCCTCTGTCGTCCCCTTCTCCTTCTGCCCTCCATCTTTCCCAACATCAGGGTCTTTTCCAGGGAGTCTTCTCTTCTCATGAGGTGGCCAAAGTATTGGAGCCTCAGCTTCAGGATCTGTCCTTCCAGTGAGCACTCAGGGCTGATTTCCTTCAGAATGGATTGGTTTGATCTTCTTGCAGTCCATGGGACTCTCAAGAGTCTCCTCCAGCACCATAATTCAAAAGCATCAATTCTTCGGCGATCAGCCTTCTTTATGGTCCAGCTCTCACTTCCATACATCACTACTGAGAAAACCATAGCTTTAACTGCAAGAAGATCAAACCTATCCATTCTTAAGTAACAAAGGGAGGGCAGCGTGAGCAGCATCCTACCACCCAAAATGCACCCAGGGCAACTGCCCCACCTGCACGCACACACGTGTGCACACACACACCAATTCTATGCCCCTGATATAGACTGCTTTAAGCTCTGACATTTAGGGTGTTCAAAGCAGGTTGTGCCATTAACTTTTGGTGTATTATTATTATTACTGCTATCCCTGTTACAGACGAGGCCAAGAGAAAAGCCATTTCGCTCAGAAGGCAGCGGCAAGTCTTGCTGATTTGTAGCTCAGTTCCTTAGCAGCTTCTTGGGGGCAGAAATGGCATTGCTTATCCCCCTGAACTACTTGGTGGTGGATGTATGTAACACAGTCCCCCATATTATCCTCCTAACAACCCTGTGGGGTAGGTTAAGTTTCACGGGGATTTGAACCTAATATCAGGGGGACGATGGGAACTGTACTCCAACCTGGAGGCCCTCAATCAACTCAGCAGACATACAGTGGGGACTTTCAGCTGTAAGGAGCACAAGGGGCGAAAATGAACAAATATTTAAATCTGCTCTGAGTGGCACCTACCCTCCCTGCTCTCCAATTATTAATGCAAGCAACACTGTTGCTATTTATCACCCTGCTGCTATTAAAAGGGCATTGTGTGTTGCAAAGAGCCATTTAAACTCTATTATAACTCCTTTTGATTGACAGCTAAAGTTTAATGAGTGTCGTTGCCTGGGAGGACCAGATGCGAAAGGAAGTTCTAAATAGACCTGTCACAGAGATGTCACATAGCCCCAGTCAGTGCTCAAATACCTGAAGTCTGGTGTTCTTTCTTTTCTTTTTTTACTGCTTTCAGTTAGATATGTTTACTGGAGCCTGGAAGCTGTAATGCTGCCTAGTTTTTATTCTTCGTAATTAATTAGAATGGCCACTCTGCGTGGATTTATCGCTGGATTCCTCCTCTACAGTGAAGAACAGCAATTATCCCCAAAACTCCAGAGAGTGTCGCCAGGATTATCCGGAGCTGGCTAAATAGATCTATCCTCTTCCAACCTATCCCCCACCATGAATGTATTGGTTCCCTTTTAATCCAATATGAGTGAGCCATGCCCTTCCCTATGTTGTAGGACTACTGGCCATACTGAAAGGGGCTGGTGGGAGTCCAACAACCCAAAGAAAAGGGCTGTGAGTTGCCCATCCTTGATTTAAATCCATCTAAGCCATCCCACCTTATGGCAGTGAATTCCATAAACCACTTGACTCATTGATGGGCACCTGTTCCTGGAAAAAAAAACCCACCAACCTTATTTAGTGACGCTTTTTAGCGCAATTTAGCATAAACGAAGAAGCTGCTCTGTGTCACAGAACAAATGGATGGGTCTTTCCCCTCACCCTCTTCACCTAGCTGCTATGTAGGGAAACAATATGCCTGAATTCTAGAAGCAGCAGAGAGAAAGACATGCTGGATAGCTCAGTTAGTAGAGCACGAGACTCTTAATCCCAGGGTTGTGGGTTCAAATCCCACATTGGGCAAAAGATTCCTGCACTGCAGGGGGCTGGACTAGATGACCCTCGTAGTCCCTTCCAACACTACAGTTCCATAATTCTATGTCTTGCTCTGTGCTGAACGCTGGGGCTCCCTTGGAAACCTAAAGGGAAGCTCCATCCTTCACTCAGGTTGTACATGGGTGTACAGTCAAAACATCAGCTCCCAAATGCCTCCGTTTTGGAATGTTTCGGCTCCTGAATGCTGAAAACCCGGAAGTAAATGCTCCGGTTTTCAAACGTTTTTTCGGAAGTTGAACATCCGACGCGGCTTCCGCTTGAGTGCAGCAAGTTCCTGCAACCAATCGGAAACCACGCCTCACTTGTCGAACATTTCGGAAGCTGAATGGACTTTCGGAACGGATTACGTTTGACAACCAAGGTTTGACTGTAAATTAAACCTTACATCCTAACGGCACCACAGTCTCTTCTGATCTTCATTCCAAGAAAACGTGACCCTGAATAAAGCGCAGGCATCCCTGGAGCCTCTCAGAGATTGGGGTGGTGCATAGCAAAATAATCGCTTCCCTCTCTCACACACACTGCACTGATTGGCTGGAGCTATTCTGCAAGAATGGAACAGATGGTAAGGAAACAAATGCACCTTATACCTTTTGCAATCATTTCAAGTCAGAGTAGGCTATTTGCTCATCTTTTCACTGAAACATCTAAAGCACTGAGAAAGGATAAACCTGCTCCTTCCAGTTTTTTCCCCCTGCTGCCAACCATCACAGAGATCACCATTTGGAAGCTGCAGCTGTATTTGTGGAGGCACCGTTCCTATGCCAAGGGTGCAGGTGCACGAAAGGTGGATTGGCAAGGGTTTCCAGCTCCTAGCTATTTTTAAATGGCAATAACAAAATGACTATTCCACCCCATCCTGCCTTGCAAAAAAACCCAAAATTAAACAAACTACTGAAATGAAGTCAGCTGGGGAAAACAGGTAGCCAGGGATGGATTTGTACATGGAAAGACTGGTTTCAGTGGGAGCCATCATGACACCAACAGGTCACAATCTTGTACTCTGGCAGTTCCAGTTAGAAAGTTCCAGGAGCAAGTGATGGTCAAGTGCCCTTCCTGTAACTGAGGACAGTCACTATCGGACAACTTTGGGTATGACAGGCAAACAGTCTGAGCTGATATCAGGCAATTCTTGGTGGCCTTTTATTCTGCAAGAGTGCACGTCTAAACCAAAAGTAAAATGAGCAAAGTAACTTGATCGAGCTTATCAGAGAACCCAGCTTGCTGCACATTCTAAAGATTAAATGATTCACTTTAAAACAGAGCCAACCTGTTGCAAAAGCCAATCCCGCTGAGTCACCAATGCAGGCCTTACTCATCCCCTCCTTTTGCTTGCTGACTTCTTTTGTCACCTTACAATGCACTGGACACTTGGCCCCCACTGTTTACCTGCCCCCACTCCTGTGGTGTTCTGTGCATCATCCAACAACCTTGCTCCTTCCCAAGGCAGCCTGGCACTGGGACTGTATCGCACTCTGCCTAACCTGACTGAAAGGATGTAGGCAACAAAGAACAGCTAGGGCATGGGTGGCAAACTAAGGCCCAAGGGCCAGATCCGGCCTGCAGACAGTCCAGGAATCAGCGTGTTTTTACATGAGTAGAATGTGCCCTTTTATTTAAAACGCATCTCTGGGTTATTTGTGGGGCATAGGAATTCGTTCATTCCCCCCCAAAAAATATATATTTTATATATAGTCCAGCCCCCCACAAGGTCTGAGGGACAGTGGACCGGCCCCCGGCTGAAAAAGTTTGCTGACCCCTGAGCTAGGGAGCAAACACTTATGAACTGAAGAATCAGCCTACACAGGCAATAGATTGGAGTGTTGGTCCAGTGTCAGCACCTTGGTCAGCGCACAGTGGGAGACACAACTAGGTTGACAAGCAGGGCCTCAACTATGGAGCAGGTATTCATGGTGGTGGTGGTAGGGTGTTAATCTAGTGCTGGTCTGGAGTCTATAGGGGCTTTATCCTGCTGGAACATGTGCATCCCAAGCCCTGTTTCCTGAGAGAAAATCTGCTCTCCCTAAAAGAGGACACACTGTCTCCTGCTGCCTTTGGGACCTGGTGTGGTGGTGGTAGGAGCTATGTAGTCAACGTCTCTGAGGACGTTGGCAAGGGAACTTCCTTGGGAGCAAGGGATGAAGTCAGCACAGTCCCTTGGGCGTGTTCATCATTATCATCATATGTGAATATCTAGGGTAGACAGCTTGCCTTATGACTATTTCCTAAAAGAGCACAGGGAAGTTAATAATCCCAAGATTCTGATATGGCAGGGATGGGAAGCCTTTTTCAGACCATGGGCCACATTCCATTCTGGGCAACTTTCCTGGGGCCACGTATCAGGGGTGGGTAGGGCCAGAGGCAAAAGTGGATGGATAGATGTAAATGTGACCTTTGTACAGTAAGCTACTGTAAGCTCACATTATATGAGGCCTTCACCCAGGATCAGGATGATGATGATGATGATGATGATGATGATGATGATGATCTATACCACCCTTCATCTGAGGATCACAGGGCAGTTTACAGTATAAAACCAGGCGAAGCTCTGTGCTGAATAGCAGCAGCTCTCCAGGGTTTCAGACAAGGAACATCACTAAAGATGCTGGGGATCAAACTTGAGACCTTGTGTTTGCAGAGAAGATGCTTTCCCACTGAGCTATGGCCCTGCCCTGCCATAAGATAAGAGGTGGTGTAAGGCCAGATTACAATTCAGCACAAACACTTTGCTAATGTGGTTTCCCCTTCCTGCTGGAGATACATTTATGTAATATTAACTTTTGCCTAAGCCCCCTAATTTGCCAGCAATTCATTGTTCAGGGAATTAAGCTCTCTTTTTTTTAAAAAAAAAATGAAAACACAAGAAAAGCTCCGTGACAGGAGGATGAAGGAAGTCTTTGCTATTCACCATCCACCCAGCCACCCACATGCTATCTTAATTCATCAGCAGACAAAGCCGGTTCTTTGTCTTTGCAGCTCCATCTCTGCCATTCATTCATGGTGAGATATCGCTCCGAGTAATCAGAGTCTGCCTATGGTGGGAGGCTGAGGAGGGAAAAGATTGGGGGGCAGGGACACAGAGAAACACATTTAATCGAGCCTTAAGAATGCTTCCTATTATTATTATTTTTAAGTGAGGAGGGTGGGGTTGTATCAAACAAAGTTCTACTGAAAGAAAACCCACTGAAATTAACAAACTTAAGTTAGTCATCTCCCTTAATTTCAATGGTTCTACTCTGAGTAGGACATTGGATACCACCCAGGGTATTTCTCTGTCTGTGTACCTCTACAGACAAAAACAGGCTCAATTGAATCAGTAGACTGGATACCTATCCCAGTGTTCTTTAATCTTCTGTCCCTGGACTACAACTCCCATCATCCTGGGCCACTGACTACACTGGATGTGGATGATGGGGTTTGAAGCCCAAGGTTGAATGACACTGTAAAAAGACCTCTTGACCAGTGTTCTTTAACGTTGTGTCCCCAGTTGTTGCTGGGCTACAACTCCCATAACCTCACCTTCCTTTGGCCAGGATTCTCCATATTTACATCACCTTTGCGATCCGCATCTACACAGAGCTCTTTCCCTTGCAAGATTTAATGTTTTGCCGTTTGCAATCTTGCAAGGTAGATACTCAAAAATCCCATATTCTGAAAGGCACTTGTGGCGCAAAACAGGCTGAATCCATTGCACACATTTTATTTCATTGCCCATTTTATGCAAAAATATAGAAGTACTTGGCCCCCTTATTGAACGAGGGGGTCTACCACACTGATTCTTCCAGGGTGACCTTATCTGTTGAATAATTGTAGGAAAGACGTTGTGGAGAATGTGGCAAGATTTTTGAGTGACACCATGAAATTACGTTCCCATAGGTCCTAAGAGCCACATTTGTAACTCACAACGTCTGGACAGTTTTATCCTAAAGTGCCTCCTACTATGTTTTGCTACTTGTGTTGTGTTCCAATCCACATATACAACACACTCTTACTATGCCAATAAAGGAGATTGATTGATTGATTGATTGATTGATTAAACAAACACCCATCACCCCCAGCCACCTTAGTCAATGGTTAGGGATGATTGGAGTTGCAATATAACAATGCCTGGGGACCCAACATTGAAGAACACTCCTTTAGATAATTTTGCCTTTACCTTTCCTAGCAAGTTTGATTCCATTTGTTCAAGTCTCAGTGGAGATCAAGGTTTCTTCCCCCACTGCAGATTAGCGTGGCAAACCTGGGAAGGTTGTGCCATTGCCAACGCCTGGTGTTGTGAATGGCAACTGTGCTTAGCTTGAATATATCAGAGCTTTGCAGAGAAACATCATAGACATTGAGTTTATGGTCTTCTGACCACACTATTCAATTTCTCCCCTCTATATAAACATGTATACATCTCTTTGTCAGTGGGGGATAACACTTCATGCATCTGATAAGTGGATATCAGCCTTGTTCATCACACTGTCTCATTCTCCACTGTATCCCCAAAATTACAGACCCCCCCAGTGGGTATGTCTTCCTTTTCTTGGTCCTCAAATCCATCCACCACTTTGCATTTGCACTAAATCTCATCTGTCACTCTGTCACTCAGTCGCATGATTTGGAGAGCTCCTTTTGGAGCCATTCACAGTCTGCCTGGGATTTTACCATCCTGAATAATTCAGTGTCATCTGCAATCTTGGCTGCTGGTTTACTGTCATCTACTGGACCAGCTTGCAATGGAAGAAATTGGGGCTGAAAGCTTTAAAGAATTGTAAGGTGCCATTGCATGAATTAAAGACAGTGTATGAATAACAATGTCCTTAATGCCAAGGGCCCATCTGCACTATACACTTAGAGCAGTATCATACCACTTTAAAGAGCTGCCCCTCTTTAAAGAAAAATCCTGGGAACTGTAGCTTGTGAAGGATGCCGAGAGCTGTTCAGGGGCAGAATCCTGCTTAGCACTGAGTTCAGGCATGCTGA